CAGTTCAATTACTCATTACACTGTTGTTCCGTCACGTTGTGACCATCTTATATATATACAAGACTAACACTATATCTAGTAATCTCCCGAGAATTCACGAAGGTTCGAGAGAAGGAGTGGCGTGATACTAGTCACGTGACCTCGCTGACGCAACAATATGATACAAATTATATTATCGTATTTATAGTGTAAATGTATATTATGCGTGATGTTGTAAGTTGAATTGTAAACTCTTTTTGATTAAAAAAAAGAAATTAACAAACACCTTCTCGCCACTGGTTGTCTTGGGTTGTCAAGCTGTCCAGTGTGAGTTATTTCTGACGCTGAAACATCGAAATGTAAGCTAAGTAATTGTATGTAGTAGTATAAGATTTTGGGTTCGTTTGTCTTCCCTTAATTTCTATATTTTATGATATAGTATCTGGTTTGTTTGGGAGAAAAAAGAACATGAAATAAAAATTCACTAGTAAACTAGCTAGCTATCAAGAATCCTGTTTTATCAATCATGTTTTGAGTCTCTATGAGCCATGGACCCCAGACATTGCACTGTTAACTGCATGTTCCATACGTTCCTGTGTTGAAGTGCTACAGATTGACTTGGATCCATTGATTAGTTGGTAAAATAAGTAACAAATAACTATTAATTATAGTATGTGCAAGATTTGGTTATAGCAATTTGAATTGTATGTTTAATATAGATGATAACCCATTCAATAGCGTAACTGAAGAAACAAATCTTGGCATAGTGATGGATTAGTCACTCAAACCATTGAAACATAGCTTTGTTGTTAGTTGTGAACTAATTAACGTTTATAATGAATTTATAGACATACTTATTAAAAATCAAAAGAGTTAATTATTTCTTTATGCAAATCTCTATTAGTGTGGTATTTTTAGACACACTTTTCAGGTAGTTCCCGCAGATTACGGGAAGCTCCCAGAAACTATATCACGGAGTTTGAAGAAAGAGATTAAACACATTAAAACAAATAAAAAAGTATTCTTCTGTTACTAAAGTGATGATGAACAGAACGAAAGCCGGTGCAATTTACTGATTATAGATAATTCTAGATCTGAATATCTGTTGATAGTGTAGGGTTCTCAGATAAAACTGTTTGCCACATAGGTATGTGGTAGGTCTACTTTATCACGGGAAGATAGATCAGGATAATCACAGAATGAATCTGAATTTAGCTAAAGGACTGACTTTCAAGCTAAGAAAATAAACAGAATGGACACGTGGTGTAAAGTTAAAACCAGTCTTTATCCGTATATTCAAAGCACAAAATACAGTGTGCGTACTTGTGTAAGATACTGGATTGTCACCTTCTACCGAATGTGTGACTCATTCAACAACTTTCTTCTCTCAGGATATTTTTCGTTGATCGACTCAGGTTGAAAACTAACTAGAATTATGTCAATCCAATGTTCTTTACTTAAGAGGAAATATCTAACTTACCTCTTACGACTAGCAATTACCATGAGCGTAGTGAAGGCTGTAACCTCTAGATATTATCTACTTGACTAGTAAAGGTAGTTTTGTTGTTTAATATTAAGCACAAAGCTACACAAAGGGTTATCTGTGCTTTGCCCACCACGGGTATCGAAACCCGGTTTCTAGTGGTATAAGTCCGCAGACATATCACTGTACCACTGGGGAGCGGCTAGTAAAGGACATTGTTGCTGTTGACCTGCTTGCACAATGTGCAAAGCTGCAACAACATAACCGCGGGCGGAGTAGATACTATCTACTAGAGAAAATTAAAGTAACTAGAGCGAATATAACTCAACGGTTTTCTAAACCACGTGTTTCCGCGAAAACTGCATAGAATAATATTAAATGAAGAGCTCTTAAATTTTCTACATCAATATAAGAAGGCATAAAATGCAAGGTAAACCTGCATACTAATAGCTCTCCATATTAATTGATTGCTCCAAAGTAAGATGACATAGTATTATGTAAAAGTTTCAATAATGACATTCCTCTCAATGCCCGTGCCTTATCAATGTGACTGATTGCCACTCCAATAAGAAAGTAAGGGATATTGTACTCTCCAGGTATCATTTAACTAGTCACTGGAAAAAATCGCTGCACGCCTTTATGCAGTATATCCTACTTAACAGCAATATTTCCCATGAACAAATGCAGATGACACCAGAGAAGGATGATCCAGTACAATATGTAACTAGAATGAAGGAAATTTAGCAATATTTCTTGACAAACGTTTTATCACTATAAGTACACACACACACGACTAAAAAGTATGTGTGATTGTTTTCTTAATTCTTGGTGAACTCGAAATGTTCACCTTACTAACTAAAGAAAGTAAGGAATTCTAGGTATCATCTGCATACTACATTTGGGGACGGAATGATTATCTTTTGAGACAGTTTAAGATTTCAGAATTTATTTCTGTTGAGAAAAGAATGGTAAACGGTGATGCTATTGAAGTTTACAATACTATCTAGGAGATCGGTAGGATAAAAGCCTCTAATTTCTTTTTGCTGAATCCTGAAAGGAAAAAACAATATTTTTAAATGACTTGCTAGAACCCAGTTAACACGTTATTATGTTTTTGACAGAATGATAAGTTTAAGGAAAGACTTGCAGCCACTAGCTGTGGCCTTGTGGCCTTATAGGAATGTAAGAGGGGATTGATGATTTCCTGAAAAATAAAAGATGAGTTTAATTATTTTTTTCTTTTTCTCAATGGTGGATGTGGAAAGAAAATACTTCAATAGTAAAGACAAAGCAGGCTGATTAGTGTTCAACTCATGACATAACTTTTGTAGCCACAAAGTTTATTTTGTTCTCAACTTTTTCTCATTTGAAAGACTTCCCAGAATACAGAAATCTTGGATAGTAGATGAAATGTCACAGTCTCGTAAAGCATTGCGAAGAATACTTGGCTGATTATGTTGTGTTTTTCTTGCGCATGCTATTTATTAATTCTAGAACTATAGCAGCGAATTGTTGAGCATATATAGCCACGCCTACACTTACCATCCAGGATTTCTATATTCTTGGGAACGCTTCGAATGTGAAAATGCTGAGAACAACAGAAACTATGTGGATACACAAGCTACACTCAAAGAACGATAGCCTTGAAGGACCAAATGATCCCTTGTTGTTCGCATGTTATCTTACAGAATGGGCTGCTATAGGTAATAGTGGATGACAGAAACTCGCAAGAGTTTAAGACGAGAAATGACGAATTCAACTTATTTTCATGCAGTTTCATTGTTCTTATTGTGTTAAGTAATTTATATTTCTTTAAAATGAC